GTTGATGAGGTAGGAACCTATTGCCCTACATTCAAACCCTGGGAGTTACTTTTATGTTATGCTCATATTGCTATGCTATGCTCGTAGACGTGGACTAATTTGAGAGAATTCATGACAGATGTGAGAGTTATTATTTAATGGTTAACTTAAGGTGGCTACTTTAATACACATCTAGGTGGATTGGTTGGAGCACCCTGGAGCACCCAATGGTTTGCCCGGGCACCTAGAGAACCCAGTGTTTGCCCAAGGGGATCTCGGAGGACCCGTGTGATCACCCTATGGAATGCCACCCAGACTCAAAGGGATCATAAGATTATTCATGCTAGAAACTTCCATGTGCAGCCACAAGCTATTATGGGCTTTAGCATAGTTGAGTAAGTTGCGTGAAGCTCTTGAAGAGGTAGACTAGCAGATGTAGTGGGTTGTAGGTGGTATAGTCTATCCGGAGTAGAGAGTTAATGCTTCTGAAAGAATGTGTCTTGGTCATCCGTTTCTCAAACACCATGTAGTGCGAGAAATCCAACAGAGGAGATCGATTCTTGTGGGGAAAATTGTGCAAACCTCTGCAGAGTGTATAAACTAATCATGATTAGCCATGTCCCCGGTTATGGACATCTTGAGTCTCTGATACTTGGATTATCATATTGATCTCATCACGTTACTTAAATAATTTGTTGGGTTATTGATGTTAATTTGGGATTGAGTTGGAGGAACCTTCTCAATATTTTCAACCAATTTTGTAGTTAAATAAATTATATTCCTTTGCAATAGGAAAGAATTAGCTTTTCGCAAAAACATTATAACCATAGAGCTTTTCCACCAGCCATATATGCATGTAGTGATAGCTATTATTCATCATTATCCTATGGTGTGAATTTGCCAGTACATTCAATGTACTGACCCTTTGTGGCTGCAACGTCTAATGTTGTAGGATTCTTACGATGAGTAAGTGATACGTTAGGGTTACGATTTCTACACTCAACTTTGCCGTTGGTGTTGATGAGAATCCACAACCTTGTTGTTATTTCCGCTATTTGGATTGAGGTAATAGTATTTATGTTATTTTATACATGTGATTTACCTCTGTTATAAATCCTCGAGTACTATGTGTGTCAGCATACCGATTCAGGGATGACACTTAAGCACAGAGACTTGACCGTCTGAGGTCGGATCGCTACAACCGTGTTGCTATCCTCCTCCTCCTTCAGTTAGTCAACTCAAAATTGTTGTCTTACCATGATTTCCTCACATAACAGAAACTTAGAGACTTGGTTGGCAAGTTCCTACTCCTCTCTCGACGTCCCTCTGTACAAAGCATTAGCTATTTCCTCTTCATATATTTGTCGAGCCTTCTTCCAACGTCTATGGTCTGGTCAATTTTTTTCTACACTCTAACATCGCAACTTTGAATTCACCTAAGACAAACAACTAGTAATATGTACAAGCCCATTAGCATTTATACTTTACCCATTCCACTCGCTCATACTTGTGTCAAAATATCTGTCTACCCTCCTCCATGCATTTTCATAACAAAAAAGGTGTTGGCCAAAATACTCAATAAAACCTGATCTTCGAATGCTTCCATAAATCTAGAGTTTCTAGAGGAAAAGGCATGATACTACAAGGATCAATCCAAATCAAGGTAACCATGCTCGGGCATATCAACCTCGATGCGATCGTACCACCAGGTTTTGGCTTTGACCCTAGTAGATTGACAATCCTACCTTGATTGGACCCTGACTCAAGAAAATGGTACCATGAGCCTAGAAAGTGGCATGCCATGTGGACATTTTTCACTAGTAGTCGGTGTGTGTGTGTGTG